GCCACGGCTGCTGCGTTTGGTCGTGCTGTCCAGCGTCGCGCACCGGCCCCGCGCCTGCACGCGCCGCAGGGCCGCCGCCCCACACTCCCGCCGCGCCCGCGCCCACGTCGCCCCCGTCCGCCAGCTGCCCGGCGTCGCGCCGCGCGCTGGCCGGGCGGCGGCGCGCGGGCGAGCCGGCCGCGGGGGCGTGCAGAGGCGGCGCTGACGTGGCCTCCGCCGCCGCTGGATCCCCATGCACAAACTTTGTATGTGTTGCATTAAAGGTAATGGTCCCATAGCTGGGCATCGCGCCATCTGGATCTGGCCTGCGCGGGAGCATTTGAGCGAGGCGGCGCCGCGCTCAGCTGCTGAGCGCGCTCGGCGATGCTGCATCCCCGCGCGCTCAACCACCCCGGCAGCTTCACAAGCTTGGGAACGAAAGCAAACCCGCTCGCGCCCACGCCAGCGCACGCGCGCGTGTATCCAGCCGCGCACCGATCCATCGTGGCGGCCGCGTCCGCCGCAGCGCGCCAGCAGGTGGCGAACTCGCGCGGCGTCACGTCCTCGTCGGGCCCAACTTCGCAAAACTCGAGCACCTCCGACAGCAGATCCTGTGGCGGCATCAGGAGGCAGCGTATGTGTCTCGAGCCCGTGCGTGGTGTCGTATCGAGGCAGCACATGCTTCAAGGGGCAGTGCAGGTTCGAGCTGTACCCTCCACCACGCCCGGCTGGCTGCCCCTTGCCCCCCTTGCGACGGCCCCGCGCCCCTCAGCGCCGCATTCATGGAGCATGGCGCTCCCTGCGGTGGGGCTCACGCACCTGGCAGGACTCGACGTACTTGCAGCAGTAGCGGCAGGTGGCGATCAGGTCGCCCCGCGCCTGGTCGACGCTGCAGAGGGCCTCAGCCTGCGTGCCATGCGAAGCAGCAGTGTGCCACCAGGCCGTATTTGGATGCGCCTAGAGGGCCTGCAGGCGGCGACGGGCTGTTACACAAAGCTGAGCACCATGGAGCTGTGCCACGCATATGCTGGGGGGGGCATACACTTGCAAGACACAAACTTGCCGCGGGAGCGCCGCAGGGCGCGCATGTGGCGCTCCTGCTGCACACACCACTGCACCTGCTGGCTGGACCTGTTCGTCAGCGCGCCGCACCCTTCTAGAAGGTCCTCGATCTGCTGCAGCTTCGCCCTGGATTTTTACGACACCGTCGCCGCAGGACGGTCCCAGGCAGCGGGCGCTCAGCAAGGGCGGGTCGCCATCGGCGCAGCCCAACCTGCGACTGCAACGCACAGACAGCAGTCCTTGCAAAGGACTGGGTATGCTACGAGCGCTACGGTCTCCGTCCCACCTGACAGCATCGAGCGCTTCCAGGTCCTGCTCCAGCCGTTGTGGCAAATGCGCACCCTGCGCACGCAACGCTCCGAGCGCGAGCTTGACCTTGTCGTTCAGGCTCCTGGCCCTATCCAGCGCCGTCCGCATCCCCACGTCGCGCTCTTCGTCGTCAAACATGGTTCATAGCACGCGGGCTGCACACATACACCGTCAGGAAGCGTCAAGAATGTGGTTGATGAGCTAATCGACTCTTGGGAGGCTTCTTAGTAAATAATGAATTATCACCGTCGCAAACTTTATTTTCGTAAGTTGATAAGGGTGTCAGCGTCTGATGCTGCCGACAGCGAGTGAAGCCGCTGGCATGGCTGTCGCGATTTCAAACTGATCTCGGTGCCGTGTTGAAGTGCCGACCGTACGGCGATTGGGACAATGCGTTGATGTTTCCTTTGAATCGGCAGCAGCACAATAGGTGGGCAATGTGGTGACACTCAGACACGGCCATTTGGCGGCCAGTTGGCGCGTCGTCGCTGCAAAAGAGTGGAGGGAGGACGTTCATGAAAGCTTCCTCATACGGTGTTTGCGAGGCGAGAAGAATCTGTGCTGTATGGTTGGTTGGCTTACGCTGGTACAGGGCTCACTCGGCACAGAAGGGATGCTGCATTGGCGCGCGGCAGCAGGGCTCCGCTTTAGCCAATCAGATGCAATGGGGGTGTACAGTACGGCTGCTTCTGGGCCGACTTACTGAAGCTGACTGCTTGTTGGCAAAGGCTGCCATCAGCGCTACCAGCTCTGGTTGCAAACAGCGCCATACATGCGTGCGTGTGTATGTTGCTTTGCTCCGTGCATTCAAAATGTGTGCGGCAGAGCCTGGGCACGGTACGACTGCTTTTCTCCTTTACGCATGTGCATGTCGCTGGGTGGGTGTGCGCACGCTGCCTGTAGCTTGCTGAACAACTGCCGTGCGGCGGACTGTCGGTGCGGACAACCGACCAAGGTGATCGGCGCGCCAGCCTGACGCCATCAGCCGCCGCCCGGCGGCCAGAAGGATTGGCAGGTGATGATTCAGTCACGCGAAGCACAACTTTGCTGACATGGGTGGATGGCACACGAGTAGGTGCCACAAGTGTGTGACGGGCTGACACAACAGGCTACGTGCCCGAAGTGCTTTCGGAACTCGAGATTTTTGCACATGAGCCTTCCCCCTGCTTTCCGTACTCATTCTCTGCGACATCTCAGGATAACAGACCACAAATACGGTCCCACCAAGGCCCATACCCAGCTTCAAGGCCCGCGCACAAACCCACACCGGTCTTTCCCGCAACCCCTTGCCGCACTCCGGCCCCCTTGAGAGCTCAACACTGTACCATGTGCTATCTGGGGTTTCCAGCCAACGACCCGGCGCCCCCGGAGCGCGCCGCAGAGGTGAGGGGCTGTCGACTTCGTAGCCCCGCTCGCCCTCTCGCTCCATCCCGCCAGTCCGCGACGGGGCCCCCGGTCGAGGCCTTGTGACATAACTAGCGGGTTTCTGTGTGTCGGGTAGCGATGCCGTCTGGCTGTGGGGCTGCGTAATCCCAGTCAATTGAGCCCTGCTGATTTACGGCCAAGCCTCTCAGCGTGGGCCTGCACAATGAAACAAGCATCAAGAATTTATGTGTTATGTCACTGTTACGCTGCAGCCAACGGCAACAGTGTCAAGCGGCTCCCACCTTCTCTGAGCGATTTCACTAGGGCGCCTGCGCAACCACCACCCCTGCTACCCCGCTCCCTTGCTCGACCATCAGGCCCCGAAGGAGCGGCCCCCGGCGCCCTTTGCTGATGAGTTCATGATGTACTGTTTCAGTGAGCACCCTGCTGGGTTGCCTGCGTCGTCTGGTCACGCAGAAGGGGGGGTGGTGTTCTCTTCTGTGAATCCGCGCGCGCCGCCCAACATCAAGGTCCGACCGCCGTTGCCTGCCCCTACCTGCACCTTTCAGAGGTCGTGGAGTGCGACAACCCCGAGCACACGCGCGATGACTGGGACAAGTGCCCATTTGCGCACAGCGCCGGCGGCGAGGTGGTGACCAGGCGCCCCCCTCAGACTCACCTGCCCAAGCTCTGCCCCAAGGCGCGGCGTGCTTGCCGCAAGGGCAGGTGGGTGATTGGCGCTGCGCAGTGGCGGAGATGGGCGAGGGTGTAGTTTACACAGGGTGCTGGTCACGGCTTGCGCTAATCAGCAGCAGCAGCAGCAGCAGCAGCAGCAGCAGCAGCAGCAGCAGCAGCAGCAGCAGCAGCAGCAGCAGCAGCAAGGCAGCAGCAGCCCTTGGCAGAGCGAAAGCCTGAGCCACCGCGCAGTGTCACCACGTGTCCTCCCGCAGGTGGCCTGTCGGCCAGTCAGCAAGCTAGCAACAGAAGAGCTGGCTGAACTGAAGTCGTCTCCACACACATCGTAACATCCACAGGGCCTGCCCCTACGCCCACAATGTCTTCGAGCACTGGCTGCACCCCAGCCGCTTCAAGACCGAGATCTGCCAGCACGGCTCCAGGTGGGCGCCGTCGAAACCGCCCATTGCGCGGCTTGGCATCGGGCTCCACCTGAGCCTCGCGCGCCGTGCCACCCTCATTAGAGCAGCCTCATCAACCACCCAGGCACGCAGCCCCGCCTCACGTGTCCCGCCCTGCCTGCCCCTCCCTGCTCGTGATGTTTCTGCCCCTCCCTGCAGCTGCATGAGGCCGATGTGCTTCTTCGCGCACCACCCCCATGAGGTCAGGAGCCCCTCTCCCTCCGCCGACGAGGTCATGGCCGCCGCAGAGGCCGCCGGCCTGCTCGGCCGCCCCAGCGGCGGCCACGGCTGCGGCGCGGCGCGCTGCTCCGGCGGCTGCTACAACGGCGGCGCGTGTGGACGGCGCGCGAGCTACGACGCCGGTGCTATTGGATACCCGGCCGCCGCCAGCTGGGCGGCGCCGCTCGACCTGGGGGCCGCGACGCTGCAGCCGCAGGTGTGCGCCGTGCCGCCGCAGCCGCAGCTGTACAGCGCCCAGCTCGACGCAGAGCTCGCGTTTGCCGCGCAGTGCCTGCGTGCGCAGCAGCAGATGCAGGCCGCCGTGCAGCTGCAGCAGGCCCAGAGCGCCGCCGCGGCGGCCGCCGCAGCCGCCGCGGCCGCAGCCGCCGCAGCGGCGCCCGCCTGGTCGGGCTGCGACTGGTCCCTGCTGTCGAGCGGCAGCTGCTCCCCGAAGCTGCTGTCCACCTCTGGCGACTCGTCGCCCTCAGGGCTCGTCACCCCGTCCTTCAACACGACCTCGTCGCCGCCGATGCCCTCGCCCCACGCCGCGGCGCCGCTGGGCGGCGGCGCGCAGTTCGACCTCTGGTCGGCGCCGGCGCCGCAGGCGGCGCTGCTGCCGCCGGTGCGCGCCGCCGGGCTGGGCTCCGGCGGCTCGAATTTCATATCTGATGAGGCGCTGTACCTGCTCGCCGGCCTGAGCGCGACCAACTCAGGCGCCACCACGGACCTGCTGCGCGTGCTGCAGGCTGAGCAGGCCGGCGCCGCCGCCCGTTTCTGTTAAAAGCGTTGTGCGCGGCCACCACGGCCGCCGTCGGATTCCATTCCGGGCGCAACCTGGGCCGCGCGATGACTCGCGGCCCGGGGGCCCGCGGCACCTAGAGGCCGCTGGTTGGCGCCCCAAGCGGGTCGAATAGGGACCGCCCCCGCGCCCCTGCAGACGCGAGCGCGTGGGTGTGTGTTGAATGTGTGTGCGTGTCCCGCCGCCCTGCCTTTGGTAGCCGTCAGTTTGGCGGGCTTTGAGCATCTCGAGGTCAGGCGATGCGCCCCTGTTGGCCGACCTTCGCGTGCGGTTGTGAGGCCGCCACACCTCGGGTCCCCGCGCTTGCGGCGGAGCATCAGATCACAACAACAACCGCGCGAATTGTCCTCCTGTCACCAACGGTGCGTATGCAGCCACTTTGCGACTGCGTGCCACAAAAACCGACACTACAGATAACAACCAGTGCTGGCCCCTTGCGGAGGAGGTGCTCCGCGCGGTCAGGCCCAGCCCCGCGCGCCTCAGCCCGGGGCTCAGCACGGCAGAGGGCTCCCTGCCTGGGCCTCTTGCACGCCTCTGAATGCCGCTGACGCGGCGCACTGTACATTCCCAGGTTGAGAGCGAGGGCGACCCACTTTTCCGCGGCCCCGCATCCTCAGTGCACATCGCATAACACCACCCGCACCGTCACCCTCCGTTCCGGTTTTTCCACGGGCGGGCGCGTCGGTGATGCGCATTCGAGGGGTTGTGTGTCAGCGCACCCTTCGTGCTTGCCCGTTCCCGTGGTTGGGGAGGCAGCATGCGCCGCCACCCACGTCACACGAGACACGCCTCATTGAGATCAATGAGACACATACTTCCTCTAGGGCCATCAACACCTTGTGGGATGGGGAGTTTGTAAAAACTGATGGGTAACAAAAGACCCTGAGCAGCTGCAGCACAGCATCTTGGGCAGCAAGGCAGGAGGAGGCATGTTCTATATAAACAGTCGCGTTGTTCATGCAGACCATCGCCAATACATTAGTACACCAACCGGCCGCCGCTTCGCAGTAGAGTCGCAGCGGACCATTGTGTAAGCTGGATGAGGGTTAGATGCAGGGTACGGTGGGGCACTGCTGCCCAACTCTGATGCCGGCCCCTGGTGATGCGCCCCCTGGATGTCAGCGCGAGCGAGAAAACCACTGCAGGACAAGACATTGAACAGAAAATTGATTGGGTGTATCCCCCCTCCAAGTTATAGGCCGTAGCGATAGTTGCCGCTGTTGTATGCAGTAACTCTGCGAGTAATCCTCAATTACGTCCCCTGCGCTCAGAGCGATCTGACGTGGGGCCTGCTTACATTTGCCCCGACTGTTTGATTACAATAAATTGATTGATCTATAGGCACGCATCGGGCGTCAAGAGGGAGAGTGGGCGCCGTGCAACTGAGCCCTCCTGAGCATGGAGCAGCAGCCTCAGGAGCCCGAACCTCCGCGGAAGCGTGAGGCTGTCGTCTATCCCAACGGTGGGCTGTGCGTCGCCGTGGGAAACAGATCAGCCTGCATGAAACTATCCTTGGCCACCTCCTCATCGAGCTGCTCGCATGCATCTTGCCATGCAGCCACGGTTCAAGACTTCCTGGAACACTATGAGGTCGGAGACACAGTTGGCGTTGGAGGTGGGTGGCAGGAAGCAGCGGGGCTGAGGGGACGGCGGGCACGCGGCGCCCCTTCACTACACCACCTCGTCACCCGACGCATGTGCTCGCATGCTGTCCCACAGGGTTTGCCGTAGTGAAACGCGGCCGGGACAAGGTCACAGGAGAGCAGGTGGCAATCAAGGTGCGACAGCTGCTGGCACGGATGCTTGGGCAGCAGCGAGGAGGGGCCGCCGCGTAATCGGAAGTGCGCTGGAACCCTCTTCAAACTGCGGCGGCTCGGCGTTCCAGCTGCATCCTGCACAATGTGCAGTCTCCAGCTGAGGAGCATTCACGAACAGTGGCCTGCTGAACGGCGGCGGCTCTCGCGTGCCGCAGGTGGTGGACAAGTCGCGTTATGCCGCAGGGGACAACAGCCTGGAGCGGGAGATCCAGGTGTTGTGCAAGGTGCGCGCGCTACTGGCACGACAGGCAGGGGTGTGCACATGTAGTGCAGGTGCTGACCGCACCGACGCGCTGGCTCGCCCGGGCGGCATGCGGTTGGGGGTTGCGGCTGCTGGGTGGGTGGGATGTGGGGGAGCGGGTAGGGAGGGGGACAGCGCCCAACTTGGCACGCTCGCTGTTGAGGGGCTGCGCCCGCAGTGAAGGCACCCCTCAGCACGCGTAGGGCGTGCACGCAGAAAGCAGCGCTTGCGGCTGCAGGGCTGCGTCTCGGAAGTGGCGATCCTCGTGCATTAAAAGCGGTCATGGCGCGGGCGGCTGACGCTGTCGCCGTCCGTCGCGTGCGGCGCCAGGTGGACCACCCCAACTGCATCAAGCTGTATGCAGTGTACATAACCCAGCGCAAGGTCTACATTGTGACGGAGCTGGTCACAGGGGGCGAGCTGCTGGACAGGTGCGGGGCCCGCGCCGCAGGCGGCCGCTCTGGACACGCAGCAAAGAGGGCCCTGTGGCAGGGGGGCCGGACGGGCTGGCGCAAGCTTCTACCGCGGGAGAGAGGGGTTGACATGGCAGTTGTTCCGCGCGGGACGCACGCCTGCGCCCCAGCCTGCTGCAAGTAGCGGGGGCTCGTATGCACGAGTGACGCCGCGAGCGGCACCGTGCCACCCCCGACACTGCGGCTGCAGGGTGACTGAAAAGGGAAACTACACAGAGAAGGACGCGGCCAACTTGATTCGGCAAATACTCAGCGGCGTGGCATACCTCCACGCGAAAGGTGGGGGCGGGTGCCAGGGCGCTGTGTGCTGTTTCACATCTCAGCCTTTAGCGCACTCGCACAGCGTCATCACCTCGGCCCGATGACAGCAGCAGCCGGCCTGGCTCCAACCTTGCTGCTCGCAGTTGTGCAGGCATCCCAAACACATCAATGCCCACATGCGCGTGCACACACACGTGCACACACACACACACACACACACACACACACACACTCACACATACACACACACACATGCGTTTGTGCGCGCCAGGCATCGTGCACCGCGACTTGAAGCTGGAGAATATGGTGATGCTCAACGAGCGCGATGACTCGCCGGTCAAGATTGCGGACTTTGGCCTCTCCAAGTTCTTCAGCGCTGACAACGTGCTCTCCACCATGTGAGGCCCCTGCACGGCGAGCGCGGCCGCAGCGGGGACGCGCCTGGCGGTCCCGCACGACATAGCCCCCCACACACCGCCTCAGGTGTCCTCGCCCAACGCGCGCGCCGCGCCGCGCCCCTGCAGGTGTGGATCCCCGCAATACGTGGCGCCCGAGGTGCTGGGCGTGGGGGACGGCGTCAAGGAGTACTCGCCCGCGGTGGACATGTGGAGCGTGGGCGTCATCCTCTTCATCCTGCTGTCGGGCTACTCGCCGTTCGGTGAGGCCCGGCTGGCGGCCGGCGGGGCAGAGAGACTGGGCCTGGCTGCTTCGAAGGAGCGGGGCCTGAGCCCGAGGCGGGCAACGTTTGGGCGCGGTGGCGCGACGAAGCACAAAAAAGCACACATACACAAACACAAACACACACATGCGACATACGCACGCGACGTACGCACAAACCTGCAAACACTTCACATGCATGTGCGCACACAACTCCCTTCTTAAGACGACGACAACGACGCGGTGCTGTTTGAGAAGATCAAATCGGGCAACTACGATGATGACGACCCCATCTGGTGGGCACCTTAGGGGGCGACCTGCCATATGAATGGCCCTCGCAGGCGCGCGCCGCCCCGTGCGCCCGCGGACGCCGCCAACCGCCCTGCCGTGCCGCGCCCACGCCACCCTCCCTCCCGCGCCTGCCTTCTCTCGCTCCCCGCCGCGCGCCGGCCGGGCCGGTGCGACCGCAGGGAGACCGTGTCGCCGGAGGGCAAGGACATAGTGGGGCAGCTTCTGACTGTGGACGCGGGCAGGCGGCTCAGCGCGGAGCAGGCGCTGAAGCATCCCTGGGTGGCGGGCCAGGTGTTTGAGGAGGACGAGGGCAAGGGTGAGCTTTTTGGGGGGGTCGGACCGGGCAGCTGCGGCGGGGCCGCGTGGGTGGCAGCGGTGGCTGAGGAGGCGCGCCGGGGCGGCTGGGGGACACGAGAAATTGGCGTGGCGGGGTGCTCTGTGGCTGGACGCGGCAGCAGGATAACTCGGGGCCGTACCGCGCACGACGAGGCCGGGCGCCGAGCGGGCCGTGACACTGCGATGCGTCGGGGCCGACAATCGCCTCCGTTGCTTTCTCGCTCCGCAGGCCGGCAGCAGCTGCAGAGCACGACGGACAAGCTCAAGAGCATGGCGGTCAAGCGGGAGAGCATGCGGCAGCAGAGCTTCAAGCAGGCGGCCGACGGCAGCAGCGGCGGCGGCCCAGTCGCGGCGGCGGGGGCGGCGGCGGTGGCGGCGGCGGGCGCCGCGGCTCCCACCACCTTGCAAGGCGTGGAGGAGGGGGAGTGAGGCCCCAAACGCGCGCCTGACCCCGGCTGCCGCCCGGCGCAGGCGCCGGGTGCTTTTTTGATTCGCGCACAGCTCGACGCTGGCCGGCTGGCCGCACAACTTTGCCCCGCCTTGGCGCGCGCCCGCCGCAGCTGACCTCGGCTGCGAGCCGGCGGGGGTCAGGGGCGCGCAGGGTCCTGGCAAGCGCGCCTGCACGCAAGGGCTGCCTTAAGAGATAGAGCAAGCAGCAGCTTTTACTTAGGAGTGGGAACGCCCGCACATGTAGGCTGGGGCGGGCCGTCTGTCACCCCCTTTTCCCCCATTGGCGGCAGCCCTCGTGACGAATCGCGTCGGCTGCAGGCCCAAGACGGTCGCGCTTGGGGCCTTGCTCTGTGCGTCTGGCAACGCGACGTCCCGCCTGCTCCTCATGCGGCGGCTGCAGCGGGAGCGGCCGTTGCGAGTGCGCCGCGGCTCGCGGGCGGGCAGCCCACGGGCGGCATGCCGCGCCGCCTCAGACGGCGTTGCTGAAGTGCGCCACCGTGGTAGGGGCGCGCACTCAGCTTAACCCGGTGCCGCGTTGCTGATGCCGCGCTCCGAACTGGAGGCGTCCCCAGCAACCTGGTGTGTGTGTGTCAGTCCGGCGCTGATGCGCGCCCGGCCCCCAACACTGCGCACTGCCGTTGTGGGGCTGCGCCACCGCCCAGCGAGCATGCACGGGGTTGTCGCGGCTGCACCAGCGCCGCCGCTTT